TGATTGCTTCAGGGATCAAGCTATCATGAACCAGTGATTCTTTAGATCTATAACAGCACATACAACAAAGATTAGTCACAAGCATATGGAATTATTATATTTTGATAAATAAAGCTAGCTTTGTCAAAAGGACACAACAAATCAGTAAAAAGAGGAAATTGTCAACTTTCAGTGTTATCTGAACTGATTCATCCAAAAAGAGGCATCGATAATTATAGGTGATGTCCATCTCTCAAAAAGCTCTCACAAGATTTCCAAATTTACTCAGCAAGTGGTTTCAAGTTTCAACTAATGCCAAAAATATTATAATCTTTTCTTAAAGAACCCTCAGTGGAAATTTGTTATCTTATATTTCTTTTTATTATGCCATGCGCAAAGTTCATTAGTAATGAGGCAATTATATACAGTGTCTTAATTACTAATTGAAAGAAAAAGGAGCAAGAAACAAATCATCAAAGCAGCTTCAAACCTGGATTTCCTTATCAAGCATTTTCAATTCCATATCTTCACCGGAATGAGCAGCAATGCTTCGACCTTTCTAATGAAAAAACCACAATTCACAAATTCAATAGCCTCAACAAACTTTAGTTTTGAAGAAAAGAAATACATTTAAGAAGTCTACTAACCTTCAGATTGTCTAGATGGGTCAGTGCAATGTAGGATAACTCATCTTTTAATTTAGAGTAGAGATTGACAAAATTATTTAGCTCTTCATTGGAAACAGGATAGTTATGGAACTTCCCAACACTTAGAAAAGAGTTCTGTTTTTCAGCTCCACTTCCCGAAAAGGCATCTTTAAACTCCCAGGAATCTTCATCAAAATCATTGTCCTCACTGACTAACTTGGGGTTTATCACAGACTGGGTGGAGCCACATCCATTTTCACTTGGCATTGCAGTAGAATTGACAGAGACCTTTTCCCCAGCTTGAATGTATAAAGTTGATATAAGATCATTGATCGATGTATTTGAACCAGGAGACTTTAATTTTTCTCCTAAGGATATACCGTGCTCAGAAGATGAAAAATCTTGATTAAATAAAGAATGATCCTTCTCCTGTTCATCATCGCCAAAAATTGACAGAGGCAAGGGCATTTTATGCTTCTCCACCTTGGGCTCATTCTTCTGAGCGTTAAAATCGAAAAATAGTTATATGAACAAAAAGTTGGCAAGTGAAGGATATCAGGAAGCTTTGTAATGCCTAGTAATGTGGTAAAATAGATGAAGTGTCATCATCCAGAGATCTAAACAAGATGTCCAGAACTAGTCATAATATATGCGCAACAATAGACATCATCACATCAAAACATGTTCTTATGGGGAACAAAAGAAAAAAGACAATTCAGATTGCTTTGTCAAAGAAAATAGTCCACTATGTTCCAACTCAGCTACACTAAGATCAATAGAGGCTATATCTATTACCACAGAAAAAAAAAATGGAGCGAAAAATTAAAAAAGAAGTATATTCTTAACTTTCTCACACTATAAACTATCATTTACTGTCAACAAATGATATATTTTAATTGCATTACACAGTATATGTCTTTCATGAAATCTTCATACAGATCTTCACTAATGCACTTAACAAGTCAATACCCGCATGTTTGTATTAAAAAAAAGTACATACCTGCATGTTACCATCAAATAAGGATGCTTCAACTCCAACACAAGAATCCTCAGAAACCTTTGGTTCATCCTGTAACAAAAATAAAAGTTCAAAATGTGCATTTTTTGGAGATCCAAAAGACAGTTAATATGAAAAATAAACCAAACTATGTTAACTAATCACCTTGGTCTTTAATTCAGTTTCTGAAGATTCACCCTTGAAGTCCCAGAAGTTTTCCCCAGAGTTAATGTTCCTATGAACTGCAGATGAATTCAACCAATTTTTGGTTTCATTCTGATTGCTTTCAGAATATGTCCTGCCATCTTGAGTTACAGGATTTGAATTGAAATCAAATCCAAAATCCCATTCCTTGGATTTCTCTGAAATTCCATTTGATGCAGCAAAGAGATCACTGGGGTACACCTTCATGTTGCCATTTACCTCCTGCTTTTCAGATTCAGCACCTTTGAATTCCCATCCATCATCATCCCCAAAATCCTCACTTGCACCAACAAGATTAGAATTTAATCCACTTACATCTGAATTCACCCCATTAATATTTGGATGCATCCCACTTAAATCTGATCCCAATACATTCCAACTCAAATTTGACACATTAGAGTTAGATGATGGCCCATTTTCAGTCTTCCACTGCTCATTCTGAAATAAGAAAATCATAATAAACCATGAGATCAGCTTCCAGGTTAAAAAAAAAAAAAATTCTATGGCTCCTTTTAGTTGTGTTGTGAAAAACATAGATGGTTAATGAAACCAGTAAAAGCTCCAAATTGCAAGATACTTTTGACTATCCACCAGCAGAATGAATAAAGCTACTAGTAAAGTCTACAAAGAGAATTTCACTTGACTACACAAAATGAAATTAAGTAAAAAACCCGAAGTTTTCAATTCGTATCATCAACCAAAGAGTCTACTATCTGATTAAGAAAAAAACAATCAAATCAGAGTTGCAATTTCACCTTAGTCTGTTCATCTCCAGGGGTTACCTTAGACTCAGCGGCCATAAATTCCCATCCATCTTCGTCATCATCAAAATAGTAATTCTGCTGAATTGAGCCTAGATTTAACCCATTTGAATCCAAATTCGCCTGGTTAGCATCTGAATTTCTTCGACCGGAATCCACTCCATTTGTATCTAGATTTAATGGATTCCAATTCAAGTTTGTCCCATTAGCACCCAAATCTGAGGCATTTCTGCTTGAATTCAACCCATCTGATTCCACTTTCGACCCGGTCAAGTTCGGAATGGCCTTCGTGGTGCCTAAATTTTTTACGTTTTTATCCAAACTGGCTCCATTCCAATCCCATCCATTCGAATAGTCACTCTCCCTCATTTTACTCCAATTAGAAGCATTCATATCCAAACTGGAGTCATTGGAATCCTTTTTAAATCCATAATCGGGCTTCCCATGCTCGCTATGTTTATATAGAATTGTGATCAAATCATTAAACCTAACACCCACGGCCAAGCTAGACTCTTCCTTTGCAGATTTATTGTCATGGTGGTGGTTGTTTTTAGCAGGAAGAAAATCAGTTACACCATTAAATGATGGATCAACTGCGCTTGATTTCTCCTCGGCTTCCTCTTCTTGCTCCCCAAATATTGACAGCGGTAAAGCACCCTGAGGTTTCACCCAGCTAGCTTGATTCTTCTTCCCTGACTCTATCCGACCAGGGCCTGAACCGGGCCGAGTCAGCTCCATCGAGTGGGTGCGGCTAAGATCCATGAAGAACCCCGGTGAATCTGAGTGGTTCGACGATAGGAAGGAGGGAGGATTGGGTAGTGACTCTGTGCGGGAGAAGACACTGGACGAGTTGACGTAGTCTCCCCAGTCGTCATCGTCTTCGCCGGAGTTCATGCTGCTTTTATTCATGGAGATGGCAGATGAGAGATCTAGGCCGTTGATGGGGTTGGGAGTGAAGATGGCGGTGTAATTAGACGCGAATCTAAAGTTGCCAAAACCCCCTTCCTCGTCTTCGGCCTGGTTATCTGCCATTGCTCCGATCTCCGTCTCTCCAATCTGGTTTTTTAGCTTATTTGCCGCTAGGTGCGCGGGTTTGGTCTGCGCGCACTTAAAGCTGAAGAGGTGAACCCAAGAATGGCCCAATAAAGGCCCAAGAAAAACCCAAGCATGGTCCCAAATGGCCCAAGCAAGGCCCAAGAACGGCCATGTACTGCTAAAAGGCCAAGTACGGCCCAAGAAAAGCCCAAGCACGGCCCAAATATGGCACAGTAAAGCCCAAATGCGCCCAAGTATGGCATACTCATGGCCCAATCATGGCCCAAGAAAGCCCAAGTATGACCCGAGTACGGCCCAAGAAAAGCACAATCATGGGCCGATAAAAGCCCAAGCACGGCCCAAGCACTCCCCAAAAAGCCCAAGTATGGCACAAGAAAAGCCCAATTACGGCCCACGCATGGCCCAAGCACGGCCCAAATATGGCCCAAGTGCGAATTAAAGGATAGAGACGTGTATAATCTGACTTTTGAAAATAAAAATTAAGATGGATCAAAATCAATTTACACTTCACAAACTAATTTTAATATATAAAAAATATTGAATTATCGCTAAAAACAAAAAAAAAAAAAAAAAACTTAACGAAGAGTTCAAAAAAGAGCTTTGAAAAAAGAAATATTTTAAAAAAATTTGAACATTTTTTTTATATAGTTGAAAATGTATTTTTGTAAGGATAATAAATGTTAAATTATTTTGATATTAAATAAATTAATTTAAGAATATTTATGAAATTACAAGTAGATATTGAGGCTTTTGTGGGATGGGTTGCCCTTACCTGGTTGTAATGACTCGGCCCAAGTATGGCCCAAACATGGCCCAAGTACGGCCCACGAAAAGTAATTTTTATTTTGATAAAAATTAAGATGGACATCTTACAAAGTAATTTTAATATAAAAAATATTCTTAGGACACAATTATGAGAATTGCTAATTAAAATTTAATTACGTAATAATTTTAGAGTTAGATATTTCTTTATTAGAAAATATTCTTAAATTAAATTTTTCAAATTAAAGTTGGCGTATAAAAGAACCTGAAATCTTGACGAAAATTAAAAATGGAAACTTTAGATACTTATTAATAGAAATTAAAAAGCTCAAACTGTCCATTACCTACACAAATAACATTATTAATTCATCAAATTAAACTCCTCCTCCCTGCTTAAATCTTTTCCACAACCCACAAACATCACAACCCACAAATACCCACATTATCAAATTCCTAAATTCCAAAGAAATAAACCACCAAACCCACCACCAGAATCGCCAAAGCTCCAATCTTTGAACACACACCAGACCCAGATCCACTGGCAAAGCTTCCCCCAGGTGTGTTGGTGGTCAGAACCACCACCATCCAATCATCTTCAGACCCAAGTCCTGCGCCGGTAAACTTGGAATCATTCAGAAACTTGGAGTATCTACTGTGTGTGAAGTTGGTCAGAACCAGAGTAGGAACCAGTTCATGTACACAGGCAGGCAGGATGACAGCATCTCTGGTGGTGTTGATGTCAATCTTGCATTTTGACACAAGTTCTGGAAAGTTGGGTAAATGAGACACGGCGCCTGGGGTGGAGCTGGCACTGGCAGCGCTGGCGCTGGTGCATGGTTGGTGCTCTAGCTTTTCAGCAATTTCATCTGCAAGGCAACCGGCGTTGCTGTTCTTGACCAGGACTGGGAGGTTTAGTGATGTTCTGTAACTGTTGATGCCTTGGAGAAGATTGTCTTCATCTTCTGTAGAATGGTAAGAAAAGGGTAACATCAACTGATCATGAACCAGTGAATTCAGTGAAATGCTGCAGATACACAGTTGTTATATATATATATGTGTGTGTGTGTGTGTGCCAATGAAAACGCGCAATACCCGATTCCATAAACAAGATGTGTTATCAAGTTCCAGGTTCATATATGATCATATTATGGCATAAAGAAAAATACCAGTCAAAATGCCAAACACCTCTCTGTATGGCTATAAACACAAAAGCAAACACAGACAAGATATGTTATCAGAATGACAGTTACTGAAACCTCCCAGCCATATTCTCAAATTTATTTTGTAAATTACAAACAGAATAATTGTAAATTAATCTAAAAATGACATAAAGATTGAGGAATTTGATCTCTCCACTGTTGTATATATGACAAGTCATTAGTCTTTAATATATTTAAAAAGCAACTCCAATTATGCAAAGGAGTTTGTAATAGATCTTCATATCTTTTTGTTTATACCAAATTACAAGGGCTGGTTCCACTTATATACTAGGAAAATTCAGATGAATCACATCTACTCGTACATTATACATACATAAATATATATATGTATATATACATATTATATGTGCATGCACCGCCAACCTTATTGTTTATACACACAAAGAAAACCAGGGTCATTTTAGGATTTCTTCAAACAGATAAGAGAGATTCCTGCAGACCTTCCTCTGACCAACAAGCCTAGATTGCAATTTTTCCCTCAAAAATCAAGAATCATATTCTTCGTCCCTAACTTTTCAATCTGAAAGCTTGCAGTCTTACAGACAAAAGAACAACATAGAAAAGTCATTACTGACACAGAGGATAAGGGACAGAGACAATATACCATCTTTAGAATGCACTTTGTGCAAGAAAATGGCAGGAGCAAGCACAGTGAAGAAGAAGATGCCGACTCTTTTGAGAGACGCCATAATTTTGCCAGACCAAGAAAAAGAGAGAAACCAAGAATATAAGAGATCCACGAGGCAATTAAGAGTTTGAAGACAACAGATATCGGTTTTTTTATATAAACTGTATAGTGTTTAAGCAGTTAAAGCATATATGATCATTCCACCATTAATTGCACTTTCTTCATTTATGTGTGTATTTATATAGTTTTTGTGGATTAGGCAGTTGAAGATCAGATACTTACAAGTGCCGTGTCTATCTGTTCCCTACACACCAGAGAAATCGGTGATAAGGGACATGTATCAGTTTCACACGAAACTGTGTCCACGTGGCATACATGCAAACATCCTTAAATCTCTGTCGTAGGATTATCTAATTCCTTGGCTAAGATTTCGGGACAGTTCATTGAGAATTCAGAAAGACCCGTGTTTTTCTCTTCTTTCTCAATGAGTTCAAGCATTTCTATGTTTCATTACCTCAAGTTCCAGATCAAACATTAGATTTCCATCCTACGGTCAACAGAAGAGCCCGCTTCAACGGCTCCTCTGTCCGCTTTCAATGACACGTGAAGAGTCGTCCATTGCCACTTGTCACCACGTGTCTTCTCAAGTCACCGCATAAATTATACATATATCTGCAATTTCCACAAGAAAAAAGAGAGAACATATAGCTTTTCGATAAATATGCATGCATGTTCTTTCGCTTAGTTTCTTCTTCAAGGGTGTTAACGAGCGTACCGTTGTTGGTTCCATTTTCTCGGTACCCAAACAAAACCCGCTTAAGAAATCTTGCGAGAAGTGATTTTCCAGCAAGAAACAGAGAACCCATTTCTGGTTTCAGATCAGTACTACTGTCAACTACAAGAATGGCGTCAGGTTTTCCTCCGCAGAAACAGGAGAGCCAGCCTGGAAAAGAGCATGTCATGCACCCTCAACCTCAGTACACAAATCCCGACTACAAACCATCGGATAAGCTTCGTGTAAATTTCCATTTTACTCTTTCTTCTAAACAATATATATGTTTTGCCACGTGGGTATGAACGAGGTTGTTGCAGGGGAAAGTGGCGCTAGTGACAGGAGGTGACTCGGGGATCGGACGAGCTGTGTGTCACTGTTTCGCTTTAGAAGGCGCGACGGTAGCGTTCACCTACGTGAAAGCTCAGGAGGATAAGGACGCGCAGGACACGCTGCAGATGCTGAGGAGTGTTAAGACGCCAGACGCGGAGGAACCCATGGCAGTAGCAGCAGACTTGGGCTTCGACAAGAACTGTAAAAGGGTTGTTGACGAGGTGGTGAACGCTTTTGGTCGTATCGACATTCTCGTCAACAACGCCGCCGAGCAGTACGAGAGCTCCTCCGTCGAGGAGATCGACGAGGAAAGGCTTGAGAGGGTTTTCAGAACAAATATCTTCTCCTATTTCTTCACCACCAGGTATATATATACACATAAAAGTCTCCTACTTGTTAAGCAGGAAGTGCCATTAGCAGAGTCTGAATCTTGAAGATGATGTTAGGCATTGCTTGAAGCACATGAAGGAGGGGGGCAGCATAATCAACACAACGTCTGTGAACGCGTACAAGGGACATGATACACTGCTGGACTACACGGCGACAAAAGGCGCAATAGTGGCTTACACCAGAGGACTTTCCCTGCAGCTAGCGAAGAAAGGGATTCGCGTTAATGGCGTGGCACCGGGACCCATTTGGACGCCATTGATACCAGCTTCGTTCGGTGAAGAGCAGGTCACAAAGTTTGGGACTCAAACGCCCATGGGTAGGGCTGGTCAGCCAATTGAAGTTGCCCCGTGTTATGTCTTCCTTGCCTGTAATGACTGCTCCTCTTACATATCTGGCCAGGTCCTCCATCCAAATGGTAAGTGCTTATAAAAGAGTAATTTTTTTTAGAATATAAAAAAATGAAGTGTATTCATTCGCTTATAAATCGTTTTGGTGGTGGTTTTGCAGGTGGCACCGTAGTGAATGGTTGATGGGTGTACTCAGTCCATGGATAAGTTAATAAACGTACTTTTGGTTGTTTGTGATATATATATATATATGTTTGTATGTATATATGTATAAGGTGCTCTCGTGTTTTGGTTTTGTATGTAAAGGGTGAGATCATGGACCTCTCCTATATATAGGGTTTTCCTATGTATGTAAATGAGGGCGCCTTGGGATTTATGGAAATACTGTGCTTGTGTCTGTAACTTTAGAAGAGAAATAACACGCACATATATAGTGATGCCAATGGAAGTTGCGTTGTGATCTTGTGGCTGGCTAAGTCTCTGTATGTTGATATATGTCTACCAGTTATGATGATAAGAAGGTATCCTCATCGATAAAGAAGAGAAGATTAACAAATAACTAACTAAAAGAGGGAAAGTAGGGCCAAGAGATCACAGCGGGCTAAAGAGCTCATGCAGATCATGCACCTGAAGAGTGGCTTAGAAGGCTTCAGGCTAAAGATGCTAGAAAGAACATAATCTACCTGGCAAAATCAAACCCAGTTGGAATCACGAACTATAAGAACCTGTTGCAGAAACTTCCCCACAAGAATTTCCAAAGTGCGTACAAGAATTAAATAGAAATTTCACCTGTTTCATCCCAGAACAAGAAGACTGGCACGATTGTGTGTAATTATCAGATTCTCTCTCACAAGAATTTCCAAAGTGTGTGTATAATAATCAAATAGAATTCTCACACAACTGATCCCAAAACAAAAGGACTGGCACAATTAATCAGATTAAACCAGTGCAATTGCTCACTCAATGATAAAAAAAGTACAATGATTTAGTCAGGCCAAACAAGAACATCATAGTTACATGTGATACAATCATTAGCATATCTTTTCTTTCAATTATTCATCGAATTTGGATAGCTCTGAGTTTGGGAATCGAAAATTTGAAACGAACTCATATTGGTTCAGAAAAAGAAAAAGAAAAAGTACACAACTAATGTACAAGCAGTGGAAAAACATTAAAAGCTGTAAGATCAAACAATACAATTTCATGTAATCCTTGTAAGAACCAGATCTTACTGTAACTAATGCTCATCTGAGAAAATCAGGATGACTGATCAAAGCAACTCTCGACACCACTGCCACCAATTGCTGCAGTCGAACATTGGAATCCACATGCCTCTAGCTCTGCGGTCACTTCTTCGAGCACTACTCCCGAAAGCACTGTTTCATCAAGTCAAGGAACAAATGGACATTCATGAAACAAGCACATTAGATTTCACAGGAACACGTTTTACAGCATGTTCTTGTTCACAAGTTCCAATTCGTTCAATTATAGGCCATGCCGAATGCTATTGTTCACTACGTTTCACATTTTCTTTCATTCTTTCAAGATTCCTTGCCTTGGAAATTTTCTGTCCTCAACTTTCTCCCAGCCAAGGAGCTAGCAGTTAATACCCTCAACGCCCTATTACAAGGCCCAGACATCCAGACATTGTGCAAAATATTTGATACCAGTATCCTTCTGGGCTCACCTATTTTTACTCTATGAATGATGTTATAGTTTCTCACTGATCCAAATTGATAAAAATAACAGCCTAGGTAAACTGAGAAGCATATTTGTAGGCGGTGAAAATTGAGAAATAGAAGAGGAAAGAACAAAGCTAGGTATCTTGTGGTGGAATCAGATGATTATAGAATCTTTACTTGGGTGTGCTCTTTAATAGAGTAAAACTTCGGCGTAAGTTTTCTGTTACTCTTCATAATCTGTAATATTATATGAACAAATCCCATTTCCTGATTTCTGTAGATCAAAGAACCATGCTAGCTGTAATACACGCAATTGATGTATAAAATATAATATTTTTTAATTTATGAATTTTATTTATTATAAAAATTAAGAAAAATAGGTTGAAGATAAGATTGAAAATAATTTTTTAAAAAAGATTAAAATTTAAGTTATGGAGATATTTTTGAAAGAAAAATAAAAAACTGGAGGTCAAAATACAATTTAAGAAAAATGTGTCACGTAGGAACATGCAGTCAGCAGTCATGACAAACCGGAGCGTGCCGCGTGACAAGGCACGCTGACGCGGTGCCACGTGGGAAGCTACGCTGGTGATCCACGTGACCGCGATCGGACGGTCCTGATTTGTTCCCGCGCGTGTGCATAGTCCGGATCCATTCCCTACTCAAGCGCGATCGTACGGTTCAGATCAAATTGTAATGAACGGTTCAGATTCATTTTCTATTTAAACGCGATCGGACGGTTGAGATCAAATGCGATGGACGACCCATATTAAAAAAATGGATATAAATAACTTATTTCACACTGAACTCTAACGCTAGCCGCCAGCCCCTCCGCCAAAGAAGAAGAACCAGTCGCCTGGAGAGGGAGCCGACCGCCACCCGCCGTCGTGCCGGAGCCACCTCCGATCGCTAAAAGAGGTAAAAAAAATTTAATTCGCTCGAAATTTGATTTTGAACACCCCCATGGCCAAATCGAAACAAAAAGACCGGTGGATGAGCCGAAAATCGCGGGTAAAGTTCGGCGGTGCCGTCGCGGAAAAAATAAAAGACTACCTCTGATGAGGTCATTCTCGATTCATGTTTCGTTCGATTTTTTCACAATTGTATTCACCATTCTATTTCCCACAAGTTGAATGAAGAAAAATGTCAAATTGTAAGGTGAGTCGGCGAAGCCGCCGCATCGGAAAACCCCGCCACCAGTAAGCTTTTATTTTTCGACTTTTTTTTTTTACCGACCGAGACCCCTTAACATGTTTTCTCGCAGGGATGAGTACAAAACTGGCCAAAAACGGCTAATATGAGGCAAACTGCCACAGCGGACGGCGGTGTCGTCGATGGAGCACGTCGGTGCCGCCGTGCTGGAATTCGAAATTGATTGGAAAAGAGTTTTAACATCGGTTTTGAATTTTTTTGGAATATTTTTAGGTACTTGAAACGTATTTTAATATTCAAAAAAAAATTTAGGGAACTCAGGGACCGCTAGTAGGTGCAGCTGAAAGCTTGACGTTTCGCACATCAATTCAAGTAAGAATCATTCACTCTATTCTTTATTATAGAATTAAAATTTAATCATAAATAATGTGGTATTTTGTATAATTTAAAAAATCTCGATAATTAATTACAGGTTATTAATGGAAGTAGAACCGATTATTTATCACTATTTATCTTGTTTTAATCGATTGATTGATTTTACAGTTTTAAATGTATAAAAATACGCTGGAGTTGGTAAGATGATTCAGTTGTGTTTTCTTAATACATATATTGTTTGTTTTGTATGATTTACAGTTAAACTGTGAAATTAAAAATTAAATATAAACGGAGAATTGTTTGATTAAATGAATGAATGAATGGTAGCCTTACTAAATATTTTGAGAATTAGTGGACGTAACGGGTGCATAAGGAACCCTACCGTGAACGTTGCCTCATATCGGACGGGGTATCGAACATTGGTATTTTGGTGTTTATACCGGACGGGGTATGAGGACGGCCTATTTCATCCTCAATACCTCTGATATTTTTGACACTTATACCGAACGAGGTATGAGGATAACTGGTTAGTTAACAATATTGAATAAATGTTCATGCGTAGTGGGGACATCCCTATGAACTCCCATTGATACTAGTAGGCAAATAAAAAGGAAAAGTTATTCTTCTAGTTAATTGAATATGAGATTATGATATTGTTGTGCTATTGGCTCTATAGGTCAATTTTGAAAATTTCGTTACGGTAAGTGTACAATAAATCATTTTATTTATGATAAATGAATTTATTTAAATTAAGAACTCCATTAGTAGTTTCATGATTTTTACCAATCTGCATTTTTGTATCGGTGAGTAGTGTGACATTCTTATTGAGATAATATAGTTTATTTTTTCATTAATCATTTTAAATCAAGAGAACCAAGATCTACATCTCGATCCATAAGTAGATTGCGAATATGATGTTCAGTTGTTTATTTTATATTTATTTTTTTAATTTTTTATTATTTTTTTAGAATGATCAATTTTTTTAAAAAATGATGTTCAATTGTTTACTTTTTATTTATTTTATTAATTTTTTGTTGTTTTTTTATAAAGATCATTCCTGTAAATTTATTGAATATTTTAAATTATTATGTAAGAAATGTGAACTATAACTTTATTATTTCGCTTTTATATTTAATTTATAATTTATTTTTTCTTAAATTTCGAATCATTACACTAGCTACTCAGCCTTAATAAATTGGCCAGATATATTACCAGAATATATTTTCAACAAGCCTGTCTGATGAAGCAATGTTTTTATCTACTTTCTCAGTGAAATCAAGAATCGAACATATTTCAATACCTCCAGTTCCAGATCAAACAATAGACTTTTCGATCCTACGGTCAACAGAAGAGTCCACTTCTACGGCTCCTCTGTCCGCTTTCAATGACACGTAAAGAGTCACTGGCTGCCACTTGTCACCACGTGTCCTCTCGAGTCACCGTATAACTTGTACAATATATCTGCAACTTCCTCAAGCTAATCCCGCACGTAAAAAAGAGAACGTACATAGCTTCCTATATATACATGCATGCATGTTCTCTCGCTTAGTTTCTTCTTCAAGGGTGTTAACGAGTGTGTCGTGGTTGGTCCAATTTTCTCGGTATCCATACAGAGCTCACTTAAGAAATCTTGTGACAAGTGATTTTCCAGTGAGAAACAGAGAACCCATTTCTGGTTTCAGATCAGTACTACTGTCGACTACAAGAATGGCGTCAGGTTTTCCTCCGCAGACACAGGAGAGCCAGCCTGGAAAAGAGTATCTCATGCACCCTCAACCTCAGTACACAAATCCCGACTACAAACCATCGGATAAGCTTCGTGTAAACTTTCCATTTGCCTCTTTCTTCTAAACAATATATATGTATGTGTTTTGCCATGTGGGTATGAACGAGGTTGTTGCAGGGGAAAGTGGCGCTAGTGACAGGAGGTGACTCGGGGATCGGACGAGCTGTGTGTCACTGTTTCGCTCTAGAAGGCGCGACGGTGGCGTTCACCTACGTGAAAGTTCAAGAGGATAAGGACGCGCATGACACGCTGCAGATGCTGAGGAGTGTTAAGACCCCAGACGCGGAGGAACCCATGGCAGTAGCAGCAGACTTGGGCTTCGACAAGAACTGTAAAAGGGTTGTTGACGAGGTGGTGAACGCTTTTGGTCGTATCGACATTCTCGTCAACAACGCCGCCGAGCAGCACAAGAGCTCCTCCGTCGAGGAGATCGACGAGGAAACACTCGAGAGGGTTTTCAGAATAAACATCTTCTCCTATTTCTTCACTACCAGGTATATATATATCACATAAGAGTCTTCTACTTGTTAAGCAGAAAGTGCCGTTAGCAGAGTCTGAATCTTGAAGATGATGTTAGGCATTGCTTGAAGCACATGAAGGAGGGGAGCAGCATAATCAACACAACGTCTGTGAACGCCTACAAGGGATGCTACGCTGCTGGAGTACACGGCGACAAAAGGCGCAATAGTGGCGTACACCAGGGGACTTTCCCTGCAGCTGGTGAATAAAGGGATTCGCGTTAATGGCGTGGCACCGGGACCCATTTGGACGCCATTGATACCGGCTTCGTTGAGTGAAGAGGAGGTCTCGAAGTTTGGGACTCAGACGCCCATGGGTAGGGCTGGTCAGCCAATTGAAGTTGCCCCATGTTATGTCTTCCTTGCCTGTAATGACTGCTCCTCTTACATATCTGGTCAGGTCCTCCATCCAAATGGTAAGAGCTTATAAAGAGTACTCTTTTCTTTCTTTTAGAATATTAAAAAATGATGTGTATTGATTTGGTGGTGGTTTTGCAGGTGGCACCATAGTGAATGGTTGACGGGTGTACTCAGTCCATGGATAAGTTAATAAACGTACTTTCGGTTGTCTGTGATACATATATGTTTGTATGTGCATATGTATAAGGTGCTCTCCTGTTTTGGTTTAGTATGTAAAGGGTGAGATCATGGACCTCTCCTATATATGGGGTTTTCTCATGTACGTAAATGAGGGCGCCTTGGGATATATGGAAATACTGTGCTTGTGTCTGTAACTTCAGAAGAGAAATAATACGCACATATATAGTGATGCCAATGGAAGTCTGGCTAAGTCTCTGTATGTTGATATATGTCTAGTTATGGAATAATACGTACCCTTATGGCATATCTGTTTAATCCTTTGGCATGGCATGAGATTATGAAAAATGCTGCACCATAAAGGACATTGATTCATATATCATATATAAATTAGATATCAAGATATATCATATTCAGAAATTGATCCGGACTACAATCCGTAAAGTTCATGTCTGAAATTCAAAGCTCGGATGGCATGTGGAGCTTGATGTTTACAAATATCAAGCTTTTCGCTAAAGGAATTAAGAGGGACAAACAATTTGATTTAAAGAGGAAATAGATTCAATTGATTTTGAGCTAGGGAAAATGAGGCTTTTCATGAAGACTATAACCCGAGTCGGCATCTGAGGTATTTTGTCAATTGGTGAATGAAGAATTTGCTTCAGAGAGCTGCATCAATAAAATCTTGCATTGGCTAAAATTCCTTGAAGCTTGTCAAGTGAACAATGGTAGCTCCAAAAGTAAATATGTAAAAGAGATGATATTGTTAAAGAGGAAAAATATTACAAATAGACGAGGATAAGAGGTATTCTCATTGATAAAGGAAGGAAGAGAAGATTCACAAATAAAAAAAATAAAAGAGGGAAATGGCCAAGAGATCACAGCGGGCTAAAGAGGTCATGCAGATCATGCACCTGAAGAGTGGCTTAGAAGGCTGCTGGCTAAAGATGCTAGAAAGAACATTTAGAGAGAGAACCAAAAAAGTAATATGATTTAGTCAGGGCAAACAAGAACATCATAGTTACATGTGATGCGATCATTAGGATATTTTTCTTTCAATGATTCATCGAATTTGGATAGCCCTGATTTTGGGAATCGAAAATTTGAAACGAACTCATTGATTCAGAAAAAGGAAAAGAAAAAGTACACCAACTAATGTACATACAGAGGAAAAACATCAAAAACTATAAGATTAAACAATACAATTTCATGTTATCCTTATAAGAACCGGATCTTACTGTAACTAATGCACATCTGGGAAAATCAGGATGACTGATCAAAGCAAATCTCGACACCAATGCCACCAATTGCTGCAGTCAAACATTGGAATCCACATGCCTCTAGCTCTGTGGTCACTTTTTCGAGCACTACTCCTGATAGCACTGTTTCATCAAGTCAAGGAACAAATGGACATTCATGAAACAAGCACATTAAATTTCACATGAACATGTTTTACAGCGTGTTCTTGTTCATAAGTTCCTATTCGTTCAATTATAGGCCGTGCCGAATGCTGTTGTTCACAACGTTTCACATTTTCTTTCATTCTTTCAAGATTCCTTGCCTTAGAAATGTTCTGTCCTTAACTTTTCCCCAGCCAAGGAGCTAGCAGTTAATACTCTCAATGCCCTATTACAAGGCCCAGACATCCAGCCATTGTGCAAAATATTTGATACCAGTATCCTTCTGGGATCACCTACTTTACTCTATGAATGATGTTATGGTTTCTCACAGATCCAAATAGATAAAAATAACAGCCTAGGCAAACTATGAAGCATATTTGCAGAAGTTAAAAGTTGAGAAATAGAAGAGGAAAGAACAAAGCTAGGTATCTTGTGGTGCAATCAGATGATTATAGAATCTTTACTTGGGTTTGCTCCTTAACAGAGTAAAAGTTCGGTAGAAGTCTTCTGTTACTCTTCACAATCTGTAATATTATACAAACAAATCCTATTCCCTGATTTCTGTAGGTCCAAGCACCATGCCAGCTCCTCAGCCTTAATCAATTAGCCATGCTGATTAAAGCAGATATATTACCAGAATATATTTTCAACAAGCCTGTCTGATGAAGCAATGTTTGCTTCTCTAAGCTAAAAGTCTAATCAGCAAACAGGGTACGAAAAACACATAAACATGATGAGAGGAGTATGAAAAGGTTAATATTGTAAATGCATTCAGAAATAAGAAGCACCATTTCAAAAAATTGCCAAAGACAGACATCACATATACAGAGATAAATAACCAGAAAGGGATAGATGAAGAAATTCTTGTAGGAACAACTAAAATAAATTAAACAGAATAAGAAAGAGGATACAGGTCGGCAACAGTGTTAGTACGCAGCCTCCACCTCCAGCTCCTGTCAACTTGGAAGCTAACTTGTACTTCAGTGTTGTCCGGATAACTGTTTCTATGGAAGCATGACTGACCCCCATACATTGGAGCAGACCTTGATTCATTTCCATTAATTCTTCAAGCTTCTCTTCCTTCTCAGTTATAGAGAGGGCATCAGAAATAGGTGACTGAATTACACTAGACAATTCATTGCTAATGGAGTCAACAGCATTAAACACAAAATGCATAGCATCAGGATGCCGTAAGGTCCTCTCTGAAACGCCAGCAACTAATGCCTTCGTATTCCTCCCGACTTTTGTGTTGGTAATTAACATTTTGAGCGGCATAATAGTCTTCATACGTGTCAAACTACCCGACTTGAACTTGATCATGTTGCCTGATTTGCATGAGGAAACTACTTACACAACCATCCCAAAACAAGAGTCTCTTGCAGTGACGAGTGGAAAAAAATTAATTTAATAGAAGTAATTTCTAATTTAGAATATACAGCAAATGTCATTTAGGAGAAAAAGGAAATACATAACACTTTGGAAGTTCAAGCTAAGGAAGAAAAGAAGAGCAAAGCTTGGTATTACTTAGTCAATACACTTTGAAAATCAAGCTCACATGCTTTCCTTTGCATTGACATTCAATACTGAGAAATAACAAAATCAATGTAAGTTATTCACATATTTTGTCACGCACAAGAGAATTTTGAATGTGGAGAAAGTTGAGCAAAGTGACCCATGAAAAAAGTTTGAAGAAACAATTTACAATACAAAGTGACAAGTCATATGCAATCTAAGAACTAATTTACGTAGGAACTATATCACCAAGTTTCATTTAATCTTGACAACATCCCTCTAGAGAGACCATAAGAAATAATGGTATTACTTATTTAAACATAGACAAATGGATTACTTAATCAATGAGGAACGCCACACTGTTGTCATAAAAGGGAACCCTTAATATTAATCTCTCAAATGTGCTCTAGGATTCTTTCACATCTTTTGCTAAATTCTCTAATTTATAGTCTGTTGCAAGCCTTAAAGCAATAAATAATATAATGTTTATTATTTGGAAAAGAACAAACTTAAGAAACGCATAAGAAAAGTTATTGATAGAACAGATATTAGATTTGCATAGTGCGGATCATGGTAGTTGCATACCATAAGTGCTGACGGTGTTGTCAATGCCAGATGGCTTTCCGTGAATTATTTTTTCACCTTCAAAAGCCCATTTGTTCAATAAATCAAGTTCAGTATCACCAAATTTTAACCATCCTTGATGGCCCATGTCCAAACTCACAGAATCTGACAAAGCAAGCAGAGCAGCTGACATTGCAACACAGAAAGAAGCAGATGAACCCAGGCCTGCACCAAGTGGAAGCTCAGAAGTAACAACCATTATAGCAGGTTTAAACCTGACAGAGAAAGGTGAGGAGATCAGAAATCAAACAGAAAAATGAACGAGGTTGACTTAAAACAAGAAAACAAAAAACAAATTATGTACCCTAAAATAGAGGTGTATAGCCAGAGAAAAGCCGACACTCCAGAAGCTAGTCCAATTTTAGCCTCTGGAATATTTTGCTCTTCAACTAGAAAAGCAAGAGACTTCAGGAATTCTGTTGGGCATGAGGTGGGTGTTGAAGCAAAAGGACTCCCCAAGTCTGGTAATGCTCCTTTGATCCTTTCAATGGACCATGAAAATTCTAATGCCAAATCCTTGAGCTGGAGTTTTAGTGTATCATCATTCTCTACAGAGAAAAGAAGAAAAGATTAGCAGAAATCTTTTCAACAGATATACAGCATTACTTCAGCAACTTCCAGATAACCAATTTCATCCCAGTTTTTCCTCATAAAAATTTCAACACCATTGGTAGATAAAAGAAGACATAGGAGTTGAGAACCCTTCATTTTTCTAATAAGGGGAGGTTGAATACAACAATTGTCTCCAAAGACTGAGCTGCTAATCATAAATAACAATTCAACTAGGCATTCTGATCAGACTAAAAGTGAAAAAAGGGAGTTCCAAAGATTTATACCAATTACATGTGAAACCTGAAGATGTTTGAATTCAATCAACTTTGGAAATACTTGGGAAATAGGTAAATAGGGTAACTTCATTAGTAGGTTCTTGGAAGTGAGAACAGAGGATCGCTCATTTGTAGGAGAGAGCTACTTCTCTCTAATAACTTGACAGCGTTCAGTAACAATTGATGAATTTAATTGAATTCTCACCAACAATTACAGAGTTACAACTAACAGAACTAATACCCATATATCATGAAGCAAATAGCAAACTCAAATTTTGATCCCACATTGAGTAATTCAAACAAAATGGCTGTAAAAGCAAGCAAAGAAATATTTGCAAGGGTAAAATTTCACAATTTGTCTTTATAATCTTACATGATCCTTACAAATTAAACCCCACCTGAAATTCTCATAGAAAAAGCTTACAGTAACAAATTATATATACTATTTTGTACTTAATCAAACACATTTAATCACATGTATTCAAATCATATTCTCACTGTTTCTATATAATTTCTACCTTCAATATTCAAGAAAAGTAGTTCATTCCAATGCATATCGCAAAACAATAGCATAGAACAAGAGATAAACGAGATTTTTTTTCCCCCCACCTAAAACGAAGATTATTGTTTTTTCCCAAGAGACCATGTAAAAAACCATATTACCGCAAGTTCAAAAACTCCATATACAAATCTATCTCCCCGCGTAACCAGTAACAATCAATAAACACGGTCAAAAAAACATCCTATTTCCATATAATCAAAAAGGGTATCTCCTAACCACCATTTCACAAATTCCTGAAACAGAACAACTCAAAAAGACTCCATGACTGCTTATTTCAATGAAAAATAACCAGAAAATGGAAAATAAAACTCAAACAAGTACCAAAATACGACAAAGTTGAGCAAATCAACGATCGACACGAAAACAACCAATCACATAAGCACAGATGGAAATTTCTCCATATATATAACATACGTGTAAATTAATGTACCTGAATGAGAAGGAAAGCGAAGAGAAACATAGGTGTATAGATCAATGGAGGCAGCAACCGCCGCGGATCCATGGACGACGGCGTGTTCTCCAGAGAGTATGATTTTCCCGGGAGCTCTAGCTTTCACTTCCATTTTCCTTGCTTAATTTCGATCGGATTGGGGGTTCTGATTACTGTTTTCGTGTGTGTTGCTTCTCCACGAAAGGTATTTGAGCATCGCAGAATGTGCTGACCAGAAGCAAGCAACTATAGCGGAGTTGGCAAATAATTTAAAAATATAAAATATATAATTATTCCTGTTTCTTTTTTTGTAATGAATATTTTGATGACGTAATTAATCCACGCTCCCTAGTGTTCATTAATTTGTTACTTTCAATTTTACGCCATCTAAATTATTTAATTTAATTAATTGTCACGTTATTTTTTGCATTATTTTTTAATAAAAAAATTTGTACTTTTAATTTTTTTTTTCAAAAAGAATTTAAGAGCATCATGTATATATATATATATATAAATCTATACGAGATGGTCAACGATCATCCGTTGACATTTAATATTTGCTTTGGACTTTTTTTCACCTCTTAAAAGTCTTTTGCAAGTTCACCGTCAATAACTACTTTATATTTGTAATAATTCCGAAATATTAAGTAAATTATATTAAAATAATAAAAATTTGTAATTATATAACATTTAATGTAAAATTGAAGCAATAAATTGCAAATTCTGTTAAAATTTAATTTAAAATTTAGAATTTTATCAGAATTAATTAAATTTATTATTCACTATTTCAATTATATATAAATGTTTGTATAAGTGAACACTTAAATTGTCAAAGTGTGAATTTGCAGACGAATTTAATAGAAATTTTAAATATGTTCTAAACATGGTCTTACATTGAGCTTGATTGAAAATTTAATTTCATAAAATAAAAAATGAAACTTAGACAATTTAAGTATGGTCAAATTTTGAATTAAAATAAGATTAATCTGGTAATGTATAATTGATTATGTACTTATTAACGAGAACAAACATGCTCTGAAATGTAAGGAAGGTACTGAACTAAATCACTCGGTGCCTGCAATCTGTGACTTGAGGGTGTCGTAGAGAGTTTCAACAAAAGTGAGTAGGAACCTGTCTGAACCATGTTTAGCCAACAATGAAACCGAAATCGGAAGATTCTCATGCAGCCCTAAAGGTATTGTAACCTATATTGGATGAACAGAAGCATATTATAAATCCAAAGGTGTGAAAAACTCTCAGGGAAAAAGTAGTCAGAGATAGAGTAGGAACCTGACAGAATCCAGAAACTCCAGCAATGGACAGCAAGCTAAAAGCCCTGGCACGAAAGCTTTCCAACGTGATTGGGTCTGTTTGTAGTTTTGGTGGAGGACCGGGAACGGTAGGGATGGCTAGAATGCTGTGGTCCTGGAGCATATATAGTTCAGAAGAGTAACTCAGAAATAAAGAATGCAACAAGTTCATGAGAGAAAAAATAAGACAACTCCAAATGAAGCGATTGATAGTAGATATATTTCTAATGTCATTGACGTTTTTTTAAGTGCAAATAAGACATTATTGTGTCGAAATTTTACCCTGTAAAAGATGTTTTCCTTAAGAGGGAAAATGACATCCTCTCATAAGTGTATAGATTCCCTCAATTCTAACAAGGTAAAAATCCTGTGATTGCCAACAGTTTCTTTTCCCTTTTGTCACATTGGTTCATAATCATCTTACGTAGATCACCTAGCTAAGCAATTATTAGTTATTATCTAAGAAAACAAGGTGCAACCACTGAAACCATTGGCATCAACATGTACAGAGAGATAGAGAGGATACCCCCAGCAAAGCACTGAGAGCAGATTGTAGTTCAGCCTTAATTGACTGACAGAGATCAATATTTTCCCTGTCGATTGACGGCTTCCCATATACGTTCTGATAGGCCTGGACCAAAATCAGGTTTTACTGAGGTAACCCATTCACCATGGTTATCCTTGAATTCATGCCTATGCTTCAAAGAGTAAACCATATGATTAAACTCAATAAGAAAAAGAAACTGCAGCTAATCTAGAATGCTACTGGTTAGCAATTCACAGTTGTTGATCTCACCTCTGAAGCAACCGCATGGCATTTGAAAGGGCTGCAAGGGATAGTATGTTATACTCTTGAGCTTGGATTCCTTTACTCATGAAGTGCTTCAGACTTGGAACATTATCTTCAACATAATCCCCAAGGATTATGTGTTTTATAACATGACCTATATGGTAGATTCACCCAACCAAACATGTATTCAAGTAAACTGGTAACTTCAGAAGTGGGAAACAATAGTACAAATAGCATTTCAGTAACCAAAATTTTTCTATTACTTCCAAGCATGTGACAAGTTTCAGTGCATATGTTAAAAGTGAAGACACGTGCCTTGAAGATTGAGAAGTTCAAAGGAACTTCGCAATATCTAGAAATTAATTATTCTAGATATTCACATATCTAATTCATTAGCTGTAAAAATTGCTAACCTCCAAACAATTTCTCCACTGATTTAACAAGAACTTGAGCTGTTTGATCACTTGGGATGCTTGATAGCCGGAAACAATCTTCTGAAATGATTATCTGACTAGGACTGGCATGATTCATATCAGGCAACCGCAGTAGAACACGCCCAACCCGACTCAACATCTCAGGATCCCTAGCAAACCATCCTACGTAAGATGGCGTCAGAAAAGCAAATTACAAAAAAATGGTACATAGGTAACATCAAGTCTGCATCTTAAGGAAACTGGGTAATGCAGAAGAGAAAGATATATATTTTTTTAGATGTGAGAATTTAACGAAATATACATAAGCACCAAAGAGGTGCAACCTATATAAAAAGTTCTACAAATCTGTCAAATATTGGTAAGATCGTCTAAATCCTTGCAGGTATATGTGGTTCAAGAAGAATGTAAGCTTTATTTCTTTGTCCATCTTTTGACTTAGTTGGAAGGAAGGAAAGAAAAAAGCTTTTGAGGGCATATAATCAAGGATGTTTGGCTCCAGACTCTAGATGTTTGGATAATAGGTCATATTCTCTTTATTCATTCAAGGACTTAGGAGACTTGCTAGATATTTTGATAGATTTGTAGAGACTTGTATACGAGTTACATCTACTTGAGCCTTTATATATAATAATTTATATATATTTTAAATCTTTATAAACATAAAGTATTACCTTTTTATCAAAAAACAAGGGTCCAGTGTCAGACATCCTTAATCCTATCAAAAGAAAATTATGTTCTCAAAAACCTTCATGTTTCTTTCCTTCCAAAAAAACCCACAGAACAAATAGCTCATAAGTAAAAGATGTTTATGTAATTATAATCTTTATGTATTATTAAGCATATTTAGCTCTGGATTTTCATCCTTTTTGGATTTTCATATAAATTCCACAAATGAGGTTCTCACAAACAAGTACACTAAAGTTACCATTTGAGACCATAATCTGCAGGTTAGAATTTTGAGGTGTATTCATCTAAGAGCAAATTTTCCTCCCAACATTTCAATGACATAATAAAGTTTAGGCAATGACAGCACTATTAATTCCTTACCCACAGTATCAAAACTCTGTGCCATAGGAATAACTCCAGCAGTTGAAACAGCATTATGTGAAGGACGGAAACCGAATATTCCGCAATATGAGGCCGGGATTCTAACACTCCCTCCGGTATCAGTTCCTGTAGTAACAATGAATTTTACTCAAAAATTTGAAAAAGATTAAAACGGAAAGATAATTTTCAAGAAGAAAACCAACCAAGAGAGAAATCTACAAGCTTTGCACCTACAGCAACAGCAGATCCGCTAGAAGATCCACCAGGCACCCTATCACGTGCACATGGATTTGTAGGTGTCCCATAATGTTTATTTTCTCCATTTATACTGCCAAAGATGGATTTGTTTATGGACTCAGCAGGCATCCATTGAACAGTCAGAAGACTTCATGTATCTTCTAGAAAATTTGAGTTTTTAGAATCGCAGAAATCATGTGATCAGTTTCTTTTACTGTTTCATCTTTTCTAGGTCTTAAATATGGATGTTATGCTTCCAACAGTTTCAGCCTTTAATTAAAATACAAAAGGTCCTAACACTGAAAAACAAACAAAACACTAATTAGTTAATAAATCTTTGTTATCCATCTTCTGAAACATAGTTACCAGGTCTGCGACTCCCAGCAATTTTACGCACCAAATTTTTTTAAGTGGTTCATGCTAGGTGTTCACTTGGGTTCATTTTGTTTCTTGATTCGGATTTCCAAGGGACCATGCATTTACATGTATTGGGGCAAGTCAGTAGAACGGGATCCAAGAAATAGTGAGAGGAAGAAGGCAAAGAAAGAGAGAGTGAAAAGTTTATTCCAACATAATTTTTTTTTAATCAAAATTGAGATTAGTTATGAGTAAAATGGAAGAAGTATGTGTCCAAGTGAAGAGCAAGAGTTTCATTCTCTCAAAACTTAAAACATATTGATTGTCATTCTTTAAATCCCTGTAATACATTAACTCAGTTGTTTAGGAATTTTAACATGAGTGTTGATATTATTTTAAAAAAAAGTATTGATATTCTTGTTGTAGCAACTAAAAGGATTTGATTGCTAAATCTGTTTACAGAGAAAGAACAAGAACCAATAGAGCATAATGGATTACCAGACTATTACTTATGATCCAAATAGTAAACTTAATAAACGGTTCAATGAATCTTCTAATCAAAATAATGTACCAACAAAGCCTACCCCTTGGAACCTAAATTCGGTGTCTACTGTGTTTCATACCTACATCCCGCACCACGATTTGGATTACATGCATTTTACGTAACTATGTTTGGTAGCATTATGTCTTGGAGTTATGCTAGCATTTTTCTAAACATACTCAATATTCTGAATGCTTGGCCAGAAATCACTTGATAACTACTGAGGATTATCATGTCATTCATTGATCAAGATAGAGCAACAAACTTATCAATCTTAACAAACAGCTAATCATGTTGTAAAAACTAGATAAACTCCATGTAACCTGAGACGTGCAAGCACCATCCTTAATGATAATTCGACCACAACAGTAGAATAACACATAGCCAAAAAAAAGGGCTATGATTATGTTAGGCTAGACGAATCAAGTTCTTTATGGGTGAATGAAAGGAATACTTAAGAACCCTGACCTGTATGCCATTTCATCCATGACAGTTTTACCAACACATGCGGCACCAGCCTCTAAGACGGCCAAAACAGCAGAAGCTGTTGATGTGGCAGCTGAATGAGTCCTAGCCCAATCAGGGTTTCCAAACCCAGTCACATATCCATCCACATCAAATCTGCTTTCAAATTTCAACTTACAAAGATCAACCACACACTTTTTTCCAACTGGAAAAAGAACAAAAAAAAAATGAGATAAACTAATGGCGAAAACTTGATTGGTAACCAAGAAATTGAAGGAAAATAGAACCAAATTCAGAAATTATCGTATGAAACAACATATATTCTTCCACATCGGCAGAAACAACCATACTCATTACTAGATCCTAACCAAAGCTACGGTGAGAGCTCAAAATATCGTGTAGTACTATTACCGATATAAGAAAAGAGCTGAAACCAGGAGATGAAACAGAGAGATAAACAGCATTTTGTGTTTAAATAGGGAACTCACATGTCCTTAACAGCAAAAGTGAGCCCAGTCAAAGGAAGTTTCTGAGTAGTTGAGCTCGGAGTTACGGTGAACTTCTCCATGAAAGCTCCGTAATCGGGGTCCCTAGCCATTTCCTAGCGCTGTCCGATACGCCAATGCAGATAGAGAGTGGTGAATTGGCGGAAATTTTATGTACTACCTACTTTCAGCTTAGCATTACTTGTGACTTGGACCGCCTGGATTTCTGGTTAACAATGGCGAAGCTACGATCAGTTTGATCAATGAGAAAGTAAAAGAGCCAAAGGATGACGATAAGAGAGAAAAATGGACACGACGTCAAGAAGCGACCAACCAATAATTCTTATAAAATAGCGTGAACCGGCCCGATAAAAACGGGCAGCCCGTTTTGGCACACCCGGCCCGACCCGAGTTGCATGATCACCAGGCAATTTTAGCTTGAGAAGAAGAGAATTATAATAGTTGGATTCAAGTAGAAATAAATAATACTTCCATTTTTAAAACACGAATACCTCCCCACAACAATCCCATCAGCACATTCAGATAACATTAAAATTTTTTTTAAAATCTATTACAACATAATCTTTACTCAAAATATATAAAAATAATAATCTGATTCAAACTTACAATCTCTTACAGAATAAAAAACGTATTAATTAGCCAGCGATACACTAATTGGTCGGATAGCATCAAAATGATATTCAGAAAATTTAGACTAATTCCAAAAAGTATAGAGCTTAATCAAAAGTAAAATTAAGATGATATTCAAATGACAAGAAAACATTGAAGTACTAAGACACTATGAAGCAAACTATCAATCAGCTTCATCGGACTCATCATCAAAGATGTATAAATACGGGATCACAGATTGATTATGTTCTTCTTCTGCAACCACTGTGGTCCCTCTGGGTGTGTTCCAACCCAATCGCTGCATATAAACTGCATCATAAGCCTCAAGGTTGAAACCAGAAGCAAGAAAAAGCTCCAGCTCGTGCACGAAACGATCTGTTCTTGCCATCAGAAAACGCCTAGCGGCATCAGATACTAGAAGCTTGAATTCTTCTTGTTTTGTTTCAGGTGTTCCTGTTTTATGCTTCTGCTCATTTCTAGGATTGGAAGGAAAAATACACAAGATAAATGCACGTTTATGCAGATTTTACGAGAAGGGTGTTTGGATTGGAGAGCAAAATGCTTGAACCATATTTTGGTTAAAAATGATTAATAAGTCATTTGGGTTAATCATAAAAGTGCTAAAAGCTATAGAACTTTTAGCAAACAAAAAAAGCTCCAAGACCCCCTCTTTTTCAGAGCTTTTAACTGGAAAACTTGGAAGTCCTTCACCAACTATTTTTTAACCAAATACCTCTTACTAAAGCAAAGTATTATAGCTTAATAATTTTAATAAAAGAGTAACTAATTATTCTTTTTGATTATTTTAATAAAGTTTTCATACTAAAGCTTTATCTTTACCAAACATTTAGTAGCTTGTTAAGAGTCTCAATGCTGAAGAAAAAGTCAGAATGCTCAAACACTTTTCCAGCTTAAGATACAAGAAACTTGAAGTTATTAGGAATTAGATTTCCTATGTATTTAAAATACCAAAATAATAAGCCAATTCAAATACACTCAAGTCTTAAAAGTTCAATAGAGCATAGTTTAACTGAATCTTCTACCATTTTTTGGTGAACTAAGGGGCAAAACAATATCAATAGTACAGTAGTGGCTCATTACCTTCTCCGGAATGAATCAATCGTGTCAAGTATGTGATGTGCAATGATTTCCACATCTTCGTCCTATGTGTTAAAGTAGAAAGACAAGAGTCAGTAATACTAGGTAATTGACCAGATATATAGTAAGACAACAAAAGCAAATATAGAGTAATCAAAATTTGCAAGGCAACCCTCTGTTTATCCAGGGCACAGAAGAAAAGTAAGCATTTCATGAATGAAATTTCAGGTGAACAAGACTTCAAATCTTGGTAGATATCACATGTAACATTAAACTTGAACAACATATTTCAAAAATCATCAAAATTGATTGAAATTAGAATCCGTTATATTTTCCCCTATCTAAAATAAGAATGCATTCTAAAAAAATTCCACTAAATAACTTAATTCGTTAGACATATAGCCTAAGATTAACAGAATTCCATCATTTTCTTCGATTGTAATTGATCGTGTATTTATTAACAAAACAACATAAAAGAAATACGGTTGACTGGAAGGGGAAAGAGAGAAACTTGTTAATGCAAAAATACAGACACGTACAGACCAGCACCAAAGCTTGAATTTCCCTTCTCAACCAATTTAGGAGCCACTGATTTGCCTGAACATACTTGCGAGATTTCCAATACCATGGTACATCAAAAATGTCGTTTAGGATACCTAAATGAATAGATAAATGACTGAAAAGCCATATATAAAAATCCAGATATAGTTGTTTGTCAGAAAATTAAAGATATATTTATACATAAAGCAGCAAGCAATGCAACATTGAGATGAAATAAGTGAAGAACCTGGTTCGGTGTAATAGCATTGTAACCTATACTTGTGTGCTCTAGAAAGAAGAAAACTGCAGGGATATAAGAGTATAGTTAGCAAAAGCTTCCTAATGATATCAATATGAGCTCAAACAAAAGAAGTCAATCGTCAAAATTATACCCATTCCCAAAAGTTTGATTAACATAGTGCCTTTCGAAAGAACTCCCATCAAAGCCATGAATGATTGAAAAGTTTTCCTTCTGCAAGTTTGTTGAAGCACAGAACCATCAGCAGCAATTTTTTTAAAGATATATATTTTTAAAAATAATTTGCAACGCGAAAACTTCCCAGAAGATCATCTATCCTAATACTACTCTTGTCCAAGCAAGCTTACAGAATTCAGATGGGATACGGTACATAAATACTGGTATGATCACACTCAATTGTTTTTAAAGGTATCAACACTTGCTTGTACTCGAATTTCTTTCTATTCCAGATTTTGTATCTTTCAAGCTCATTAAAAAAAAAAGGGAAATAATCTACAAAGCTATTATGCAGAAAGCTACAAAGATGCATAGTAACCCCTCCATCCATACGCACACATATTCTTCACCTCTATCCCATGGGAGCATAAAGAAGTATTGCATGTATCACAAACAAAATAGATATTATATATAAACAGAGCAAACCTTACACAGAGGGCATTTTACAAAAGAAGGTGAGCAAGAATGCTTTCTGGCACTCACTTCAGTCCAATGTACAATGCAATTGTAACAGAACTTATCTGCAAACACAATGGAACTTCTACAATATAACACTAAGATGATATTTAGAAAATTTGACTGCTCAATAATGATAATGAACGACATCAATCAATATAAATAAAGCATTAAATGCATATTTTGTTAATTTTAGGAGTAAGAATTTGAAGTCTTCAAATTTCTATCAATATACAAAACTAATTCATCTTCAACCATGAAGAAATCTGCTCCAGATGTTGGAATAGTTTGCCAGTCCCATAGAAACTTCAAACTATAACCACAACCACGAGCCTTTCTAAACTTTTCTCCTTTTCAATAACGGGTGAGAGATCAAGGCTCCCCACTTCACAGTGTCTTTTTTGTATGCCCCAGGACTCCAATAAGAGAACATAAACGATATTTTTTTTATTATTTTATTGGCTACCAAACTACATGTTAAATGGGAGAGGGACAAACGAAACGTTTCGAAAGTCCGCTAGGAATTTCCAAAAAGACACGTTGCGAGATGCGCAAACCCGATTTCCGATCTAAACTAGAAATACCCAAAAATGATCATTTTGGATATCCAATTGCCGTTTTTCTTCTCCTTTTCCTAAGTTTTTTCTCTGCAACCAAACAAACGGTTAGAGAGAAGTAAAGGGTGAGAGAGACGTACGGAAACACATGTCGAGATAGGCTTCTCGATCCATCGGTGCGAGGCATATTGGACACGGGTTTGGATCCTCCGAAGAGCGAGATCCACTCTGGTTAGGCTCTTCCCCCTCCCGCTCCATCTTCTGCTTCCCTTCTTTATCGCAGCAACTAATACATATCGTGCCTGTTCATGTAGATGGAGGCTACGACACCGTTTTGTAAGCGTCTCTGTTTTTCTTCTGTTCTGTTTTGTTTTTGTTCTTGTTCTTTTTCTTTAAGACAAATTTTAGAAGCACACACTTTGATTTTTACTAGTTCAGAGTTTGAGACCCATAATTTTAATTATTGTTATACTTATTTTTTACTAAAAATTGTTCATAACAAATTCACTAATCTAAGTGTGATTTCCAGACATCCATTATATCCTTTTCCTTGGCAATCTGAATTCTTCAAGCATAATCTAAATCCTTTTTAAAAAACCTTGCAAAAAAACAGAGAACAAGAATTTGGTAATTGGCTAGAGTGATGTCCTCTCTGGACCTTAAGCCTTACCATAACTTATCAGGAAAAGCATATAATTTCACATCAAATCCTGAAATCAGGAATATATGTATGTATATATTAATATTCTAATTCAACATAAAATGTATCAGGACAGGTATTTATTACATAAACAAAAATGAGAGAAAAGGAAGAAAAAGGAAAAAAAACAGCTGGAGAAACAATGCTCCAAAACATTGCTGGAGTTCTCTGCATTCTGAACAAGGTAACTATCTTTGCAAAATCTTTTTTCTGTTGATTCAATATTGACTCTGATTTGATTCATCTTTACTCACCCTGCATAAAGGAAAGACAGTTGTAATTTGCAAGGTATTAGGTAATTAAATGTTTTTAGGCTGTGTAATATATTAGATATATATAAAATATGGATATTTATTTGGTTTCGGAATTTTCGTACCTCTTAAGTTCTAGGACGCTGGAATATTTGATACGGTTGCTAAAAAAAAAATAATCATCCAAGGGTCATAAAGAACTGAGAACTCAAATTGGTTGCCAGTCTCGCTGCTGCCAGACCAGCGAAAACCAATTTCAACATTGCACCTGAGGTTTCTTTTCTTTTGAATTTCCCTGAAAGGCTCAATTGAATAAAAGAACTCATTCCTTGATCTCTGATGATTGTCACAAAGACAATCTGTCATTGTTATGTTGATAGTGGAGGAAATTCTTTTTCTTATATACTCGATATCTGGA